GAAATTATGGTTTAACCAAATAAACATGTCATGGTCATGATTAAATATGATCACTACAAAATTTTGAACGTTGAGCCTTAAAAGGATTTCGAGGACGAAATTCCTTTAAGGGGGGAAGAAATATAACGCACCAAAACATACCCTAATATTTATTGAATTAAATATTCAATTAAATAAATTTGTTTTGATTAAAAATAAATTGTTGTTGGGCCTTGGGACAAAATAAAATATGTTTTGATATCCAATATCATAATCCGGATAAATCTCATAGAGATAAATCCAATATGTTGACTTACTGTGTGACCTTGATTGAGAACCTGAGTACAGACCCAAATCAAGAATATATGAAGAATTTGTTTGTGATGTAAACTTTGAAATGATTTATTGAAATAAATAATGAGAATAAATAATATGAATGAAATGTAAAAACCTTTCTGAATAAAGGTCAACAAAATCAATTTTGACTCTGTCAAAGTCAACCACCTAAAAATATGATGTCGGAAAAAGTATTACAAATAAATATGAAAATTATATCGTTTGATAGAGTTTAATTATACGATCGCAACGGTGCAAACGGATTTCAATTCGGAGAAAGTTGGACCAATTGATTATGATTATTATAAAAATGATTTTTCATACCAAAAATGATGTTTTTAACAAATTAAAACATTATGTGATGCATGACGGTAAGTTCGGGTGTTAATACTCAAAATTTCACCATTTTTTGGCTTTGGGGTGTGATGGAATAAATCAAAATGGATCTCTAAACTGTCTGCGCTTCTTTAATTAATGTAGTAGCAGTTAGTCAAGCAATGCAACTTTCGACGTTGAGACGGGGGTCTCTTTGGAAACAGCCTCTCTACTTTCAAGTAGGGGCAAGGTCTGCGTACACACACCCTCCCCAGACCCTACTCTTGTGGAATTTAACTGGGTTGTTGTTGTTGTTGTTGTTGTTGTTATGTTAAATGATTATTATGATGAACTATTATTGTGGCCAATTAATGAATGATTAACCTACTGATTGGTATGATTAACTCATGATTAAAAATGGATATAATGATGATTATGAAATTGATGTATATTATTAAGGATATCTAGAAGAACTCTAAGACATACCCACTTGTATAATGATGATGAGTATTAAGGATATCTAGAAGAACTCTAAGATATACCTCCTTGACACATTCATATTTCGGGGTTAAAACGTACGTACGGGATCCAGACCGGATATCACCCACCCGACAAATCATTGTTCGGTTGGTACGTAATCCACATGACTCATAGGGTGGATTATCGATTCTTGTGTTCTGCATTAAACTATTTATAGTTTAAGGGCCTGGTTAGAATTACTGCCTTAGACTAGGAATAGCTACGAGCTGAATATAAAATGATGTGGCCTTAGATTAAGAATAATTTAAGAGCATTATTGATATATATTGAATATCAAATGACTTGGAATAAAATATTGAAAATATTTTGAATGTTTGAACCATATATTGTGTGCATGATATCAAATGGTTGATTATGAATTGAGATTCAATTTATGTGGATGTTCGACGTTTTAGATATGCTTACTCAGCTTCACCGCTGAGCGTGTAGTGTGTTTTATTTGCTACACGCAGGTCAATAGATTGATGTGACGTGATCCTGGAGGCAGACGGAGGCGAGATAGTCGGAATGGATGTGATGGTTTTGAACGAAAGAATATAAATAAATTATGTTTGTGATTATGATTTGTTAAGCTTCCGCAATATTGAAAACTCTGTACTGTTTATGATATGAAAAATATTATTATGATAAATAAAAGTGTTTGAAAAGTTTTAAATTTTACGATTACCAAGTTAATACTTTAGTCCGAAAGGGGCTGCAGACCTGGACGGATTAGGGTGTTACAATTTGGTATCAGAGCAAATGGTTTTAAAACCGATCTTCGGATCAAAATTTGATATAAAAAAAAAATTTTGTCAATCACATCCACGACTCTCGCATCCCTCTGCTCTAGGAAAGGTATTAGAATTTACTTAGTAAATGCTGATTGTGTTAAATTCTCATTAGATAATAATGGTTAATACAAAAACTATATCGAGCTAGACTCAAGTCAAACTTTCGTACTCAGTGAAGAGACGCAAGAATGAATGAAAAATATACGACCCTCTCATCCGTCATTAACGTACGCTTCGCATTGCGAAGAACGAAACTGATCTGCATCGCAAAATCGTACGAAAGTGAGACGACTATGAAGAAACGATAATTGTTGAGAAACATCTGTGAAGCCGATGTCAAAGATACTCATGTGGACTCAAGACGATCTAATCGCTGATTCAAACACGAACTTAACGTTTAGAATCTATAAACTCTGTTATCTAAAGTATCCCATTCTAATGTCTAACTCATTAAGATGCTAATATGCGATTATATCTTAGGATTCGAAATTGTTCGTTAAGCGACAACTCCTTGTAAAACCTCATTGAAATACCATACAAGGAATTTGACAATTATCCTTAGTATACATTGGCTGATCGAACGATGTTGGTATTGACAACTCTTGACGAAGATTTCTTCAACTGAAGATCGATGATCGAAACCTTATATAGGTGAAAGCAAAGCTGATTTCTAAACCGACCGAGTTATCTCGAATTTATGTGCGCAAACCTTTTAACCAAAAGGAGCATAAAGTCTTTTCGTGTGATACGTGAAAGAAAGATCTAAACTGAAGGACCAATATTCGTAACTCTATATTGAATGTGTTTCCATCAATGACTTCTTGACAAAGAATCATCTGATCAAGTGTTTCCTCCTTGGGAGAATACCTGTTTTGTTCATACGCGAATCAATAAGACTCTATATCAACTACTGAACAATTCATTATCCTTTACCTCGTATCATGACTTATTTGATCAGCTTAGAGAATCCATTGTATTCTCTAAGATTAACTTACGGTCAGGATACTAACAAATCTCTGTTAAGAAACTTCAACAAACTGACGATCGAGAATTGCTATCCTTTACTATAAACTGATTATTCGATCAAATTCAAAGAATTTGCTTGTTAAAAGCTATAGACAACTCAACCTTGTTGAATGAACTGATTCCTTGTTATGAAGTGATTAATGACCTAATTACTTATCATCGGAAACGTCAATGTAATCTAATTGAATAAATGAAGTAATAAAGTGATGCTTACAAGACAAATCAATAAGATAGTTGACTCGTTTTGATATCCTATTGACGTGAAAGATCGCGACCGAGATGATGATACAAAATATGACGTGAAACAGTGACACCAACAATGAAAGACTGAAGAATGAAGAAAATGTAGTTCGCGCTGACCATACAACGTTAAATAATATTTATGGATAGTATTATTTCAACACAAAATACAACTTGGATTACATGAGGAAAGTTACAGATGCAATTCTAAGTCTAGTCTTC